AACTCTTCTTTGCTCTTTCTCCCATACCCTATTGAAAAATTTCATTTGAGCCTGATATAGGCTCATTGTTGCACACAGAACTGGCCTAAATCCGCTGGGATCCTTTGGGCTATGTCCTATCTAACAAAACACGCAGGTATGCATGTGTGCATGTATGTGCACATAAAATACCTTGCAGACCGGGCAACTCCTACAGCAGGAAGATTGGAGATCAGCTGTTTATCCTGCATTTTTAAACACAGTATTTGAGAAAAGTTCGCAAGTGAGCAGTCAGTTGTATGTATGACTGGTAAGTATTGGCAGGAGAAACCTCTAAGAAGCTCTAAGAAGCTCTGTGGTACAGGCTGGCACTTAGCTAAGAGTTTGCAGTCACCAGAAGATGACAGACTCCTTTTTATCTTTTTTATATTATTTTTTTAATTCAACTTAAAGCATGGGATAGTGAAAACAGAGAGTAAAAGAGCATCTCAAGAAGGCACCTTTGCTTATACAATATGGACTACGCAACATGTACCGAAACTGGGACTAGTCTTTAGAAGGTGGTCCAAAGCAACCAAGATGATTTGTATCATCTACTTGTCTCACTCCTCCCTCGTGTTCTATATCTTCTCATTACTCACCACCTTTCACCTTGTGTTTGCATGGGAATCTATGTGGGAAGAACTTTGTTGTCCCTCATTCCAGTGCCTTCCTTCACATAGTAGATCTCTCATCCCAAAGATGCCAAGTCTTACTAGGCATCACTATGATATCTTGATCAGTAATGCTGATACTTCTGTTCATTTTCTTTTGTTAATGGAAGCTGACTGGAGGCTGTTTCTTTTGGACACTCAAGCCTTGTGGTCCCTTTTCATGGAGTGAGTGCCATGAAGTGCAGTACAGACCACACTCGGTATGAAGTTATTCTCTGCAGGTTCCAATATTTCAATTTTTGAGAACGGAATCATTCAGATGCCTCATGAGAGCACGTCAGGTAGGCTGACATCACTCAACATTCACCATCTCAAATACATGCATCTAATTTATGTTAAACCGCACGATTACCTCTATACTCAAGGAGACAGACAGGCACCCTGAAACAGTGATTTATCCAGGTTCCCCTGGCAGAGTTTCTCTCCAAGGACAGAAGGCACGTTGCTGTCTAGCTTGGAGTACCAGGTAAGATAAGCTGTGCCTGAGCAGTGTCACCTGCCTGGCTCCTGACCATGCTGCAAAGCAAGCAAGCATTTCCATAGGGCTCTGGGGTGATGGAGGGCTTTCTGGAAAGCTCCTTCAGGGCATGCTGCTTGCTACCCTTAGTACAATAACATATTTGAACTCAGAATTGAAATCACCTTAGGTACAAGTATAGCATCTCTCCATTCAGTGGGTGGCAAAGCCTCTCCCCGGCAGAGTTTTGGATTGTAGGTCCTCTGTGGAGTCTTAGGAAGGCATCACAGCACTGTTATGGTCTACCCATGTTTGGAAATCTTTCTCTGTATATTTTAGGTTTATTTTCTGGATGTTTCTGGCATGATTTATACTGGGTCCTAGAGTTCAGGATGACGTTTTTAAGAAAATGAAGTTAGACTAATAGGCTGTGAGCTGACAAAATGTAGGCCATATATTTTGCAACAAAAATATCCCATCACTGCTGATAATATACCAAAATAGAAAACCCAGTAAACATAACAGATAAGGCCCATTTCCAGTTCAGTGCACAGTATTTAAGCTTCATAGATCTAAAAGAAGAATGTAGAAGTTACATTATTATCTCCTTCTATAACAGGCAGCAGAAATATTAGAAATGGTCAAAGTGTTCCCCTTTAAAATAGGAACATTAACTCTTCCCCAAACTTGCATGCCTGTCTCCCTTATAGTCAAGTCGTATTTAAATGTGTTGCAATGTTTCAGTGTAAATGCAGCATGATTGTTAACACGGTTCAGATAAAACTGAAGTTGAGAATTTCAAGGTATTAGAAAACAAATTTGCTACACTTGCAGTCTTCTGTTCTGTACACTCATTTCAGACAGTAACTCCTGTTAATGTGCTGCCCAGTAAAAGCATTTGCAGTGTTTACTTTATGTTGCATGTGATCAGACAGCAACAAATCTTCTCAATATATTATTTTTCTTTATGATGTATTTTTCTTTTCCTGACACTTTTAAAGCAACTTACATTACAGCTTTGGAAAGACCAATCTCCTAGAGAAACATTTATTATTTTCCAAACATTTTTTTTCAGGTAATGTTCCACCTGTCACATGAAACTCAAAAGTGAAAGTGCAGGTGCTCCTTCACTGGAAAACTTGTATAGTTTTCCTACTTTCCCATCCCTGAAGACTGCTGTCAGTACATAGGCAAATTTGCCGTCTTCTATTGGGAAAGACAGTGCTATTTTTAAATGCATGCTTAAATGGGGGAGCTGAACCAATGTGGCTACAAGACACAGTGGTCATTCAGCTGTCTCTAAAGCCCTACAGAGTGATCTGCTTTCCCTGAAGCCACATGCCAGTTAGTGCAGTACATGTGTGAGCTCTCTTGGAATGGAAATAGTTTCATGTTTTAAAACGGTAGGCTCGGAGGAGAGAAACAGAGTGGCATGCAAGGGGCCAGCTAAAACAACCTATTTCCACTTCCTTTTGACCAAGAAATACAATCCCCATGTCGTTCTGAGCAATAGAAAACTGAAAGAGTTTTTCTCATCAGAAATCTTGGCACTTCTGTGAGATTTCATAACTTTAACATGTTTACCTATTATTCTTTAATGTCTTTCGGAAGCACCAAAATTGCAAACGAGATATCTTGTCCTCTTTGATGTGAATAGATGTTTCTGTAAATGCCTAAGATCCTTTCAGGAAAGTAGGCTGCATCCTCCAAAGTAACATTTAAATTCAAATGTCTTTTGACATGGAAACTGGAATGCTTTGAGGTTGATTTCAAAGTCCTCAGAGAAGTCTGAAATAGTGCTCACCTATTTGAATTACATTGTCTGTAAAAGTCAATCCTTTCTGTATATTCTAAAATAACATAACATTTGTGTGTTATTTTTACCAAATATTATTGGGAGACAAAGTTGCTGAACCAATAGCACAGAGCAGTTTTGATTGGATAAGATACAAATCATTTAATCAGGGAAAATATACTGAGTAATGTGGATTGAGATTCCTCACTTCAGGCACTCTCATTTGAATATTTTGAACACATTTCATAAACTGTTGCTCTACACGTAACTATCATCAAGAAAGCAAGATACTATAAAGAACTGATTTTAACTGCAGTTTGAATTGCTCCTCCCAGTGCTTGCAAACTTCATGAAACACAAATCGATTATTTTTTCTGGTAAATTTGAAAATGCTGTCTTTTAACAAAGCATCCTTCTATAATTTTTTTCCTCTTTCTGAGTTTTGACTTGATCTGCTTTTGTCTTTCTTTTAATTAAATTTAATTAAATAAGCATTGGTTTAGCCTAGGAAAAAAAGTATAGTACATTCAGTCTACCTCCATGAGTTTTGTACCCATAACCACCAGAAATAAAATGACATCGCTCTTTTTCCTCATTAGGTTAAAAATGCCACTTACAAGCATTTAGGTTGTTACTTGAAAACATGCATTCACAACTGTGCATTTTATGGGTTTGTAAATAGCCAGACATCTTTGCAAGACTGCAGCAGAAAGCTTACCTGTCAGCTGAGAGAGCAGTGAGGGTAAAGACTGACACCCCTACAGAAGTGAGCTGTATGAAGGGTATAAGTTTGCATCCAATTCTGCCAAACAGCCATTCATCAGCAAGGTACCTGCTAGCATCCACAGGCACACAAGTCACTAAAAGCAGCAGGTCTCCTAAAGCCAAACTGGAGATGAACAAATTAGGGACATTTCTCATGGATTTCACAGTACAGAAGATCTTGATCAAAGTGATATTGCCAATAAGGCCTATCAAAATGATGATCCCATAGATGGTGGGGATGGCATATAGGAACGCTGGGTAAAACCAGTCATCATTCAGCATGGAGAAATTTGCACTCTGGTTGGCAGAGATGTTGTAGAGAATGAAGTTATCCATCTCCAGGTCTAGCAGGAGGCACTCTCCCGATGCCATTGTCCCACTTTGCTCTTCTCTGAAGCAAATTTTGACAATCCTCATATAAAATCCTTCACTTTAATTTTGCTGCTTTAAACAGCCTGAGGTTTAAAAGTCATGCCACTTTGCGATACATCCTGAAAATAAACAAGCCAAAAAGCACAGACACACAGTTCAACACTCGTGCTTCCATAAGTTTAGGAGAGACCATCTTTTAGCGTAGTTTGAATCCTGAAACTTGCCTTTTTTCCTCACGGACTCGTCTTGCTGCTAGGTATTCCTCAGTTCTAAAAGGCCTTCTATCAAATTCAAAGACCAGTAAGTGGGAGGCATTTTCAAAAGCAAAGCTAAATTCCCAGCGTCAGATTTGCCGAGTAGAACTGACTCTGAAACAAGGGAATCACAAAAAGCAAGAACTTTTGATAGTTGCTGTCATTCATGTTGCAGTCCAAATCTCTTCCGGGTTTTAGCCCCTGCATTTTCCAGATGGATTTAAAGTCAGGAAAAAGAGCAGCTCCTTTGAGGACTCAGATCCTATAGGCAGGATCTTCTGGACGTCAATTCTTCCCCTGCTTCACATGATGAGAGCAAGCTTGCTTAAATGATTACAGAAATTCTATGGGAGCTGCAGGCTAGTGCCGGAGAATGCCAGCCACCTACTGGACAATTTAATCACTGCCTGGATAAATATATATTTATATATATATATAAAATCTCTGTTAACTCTTTAGTTGGAAAAATGTACTGATTTACATGTTGTGAGATGAGGTTCACAGTCTTGCTTCTCCTTTCCCCCTTTTGTTTATTCCATACTGCAAATAACAGCACTACAGAAGTAAACATACTTTCTTAAATGAGAGCACACATACTTTGTTTGCACTTCAGTATCCAATTGCTTCAATGAAAGAGAAAAATTACATCAAGACAATTCATCCTCCAGGGCAAATGAGCTGAATAAGGCCAATTAAGATAAAATCAGCATTACAGTTAAGGTAGGTAAAGAAGCATTGTCCCTACACAGCAGCAGTTAACCAGGGATGCCTGAACTCTGCACTTTTTTTTTTGTTAATGTTTTAATTTGGAGGTAACAAAAATAGGGAATAAAGTTTACCGTTCAATGTGGTCATTTCTACTTATGACATATCCATCATAGTGGCATCTATAGGTAATGCACATTTAGAGGAAACGAAGAGAAAAAAACCCCTAGGTAATAGTGTATTATGAAAACGCTCTTTTTTATAGCTTAATTAAAATAATACGACTGATGTGTTACTGCTTTATAATTGATAGACTATTTATGTTTACATACAAGGACCTTCTGGACTGTGAAGAAGTACAGTTAATTCAGAAGCCAGACTGCTGAATTAGATGAAGCTGCAATTTACTTTTGCCCCTGCAACATTTTTGCAGGCAAAAGAATGTTTTGCCAACTGCTACAATTCTTTGGGAGTGAGAGGGAAAGTGATTCAAATCAGATGTTAAACAGTAAAAGCAAAATCCAGTTATTTGATAAAGGAAACATTTCAGAATACAATTTGGAAAACACCAGATACTTGGGAGCTATGTCCCGGAATGGGACTCTGAAAGAAAGCCATTAGTATGCGTTTTTCTGCCTCGTTCCTGTGACCCAGGTCAGTGTTTTCAGCTGCTTTGCTGCTGTTCACTGCAAGTCAACAAAGGACTTATGTGTACCCTTAAGTAGGGATACTTAGATATTTCAAATCAAACACCCAAGGAAGTACTGTGCTGAGAGCTCAAGGGAATTTCTGGTACTCTTTCAGACAAAAAAAAAAAAAAAAGTTTTTTTTGAAAAAAAGACGTCAGGTTGACATTGCTAAAAGAAGAGTACACAGAGCTACTGTGTACAAGGAAAAGAGCTCTGGTGGGTCCATGCCAGATGCATGCAAAGCTGCCAGGTTGGAGAGAGCTCAGGCAGAGGCACAGCAGGATGCACTGTATGCACAGAGGGAGGCCAGGGAGTCACCATTGCTGCAAAGAGTCTAACTCTCCTAGAAGCTCCTCCCAGATTGTTAAGAGTTCAGATGGGCTCACGGGCTGCACTTCATGGGCTTGTTGCCCCCCTTTGCTTTCTCAACCTTCTGCTGATGTTGAAAGGATGTAGGAAAATTGAAAGCATCTTGAATCTCATCTGAGCAGCCTAGTCAGTGGTCAGTGGTGACCAGGCTTGGAGCAGTAGGTTTGACTGGTCACCTTTAGATGGATGCTGGACTGATCACTCTCCAGTCTGAATGACTCTGGGACTTTGATTTATAATCCTACCACTCAGAGATGTAACATCTTGAGATCTTGTCAAAAGCCTTAATTTATCAAACTGAACAAGAGAACGGCTTGCTAGCCAAAAAACCTCCAAAATAGCCACTAAGTCATAATTTACCATTGTTTAAACTGCTCTACTGTGAAATTTTTCATACTGTTGCACAGAAAACTATGTGGGATGAACAAAGCAGGGAAAAGAAAGTTCTCTTCTTTGCAGGTGGGTGTAGGCAGATCAGCATGCCCCATGTCTCTAAATCAGTGATGGAGGAGGCTCGCGTGATCTCTGTGAGGATTCACTTGAGCTTAATCACTGCAAGGTAGGTATTTAGTTCCAGGGAGCATTTCAAGTCTAAAGCTGCATTTCTATATTTGTTTTTGGCAAATTCAGGCTTAAGGTTTTAGGACAGCCACTTTTGATCACAAAGAATGGGAAACTGAAGAGACAAATGAAAAAAAAAAAGAAGAAAAGAAAAAAAAAAGGGAAAAATCAGATCCTGTGAAGCTTGAAACTTGTTATAAAAAAATATTGTTTTTGTCAAACTTAATAGCCTGTTTTTGAATTCCAGAGTACACAACTAATGCCATAGGAGACAGCTTTTATTCACAATTAGCCCATGAAAGTTCCACAGAAGTAACTCAGAAATACTGAAGATGTTTCCCAAGCATGTTTTTGTCTTATCCTAAGTTGCATATGAGAGACTTTGTTTAATATAAATTGTGTGCTTTTTTCATCTGTGTGCTTTTTGCTCTTTTCCTCTAGTATTTATATTCCATGAACAGGCAAAAAGTTTGGGCATTTGTATAAGCCTAGGCACCTCAGCTGTAGTTTTCATTTCTAGCTCCCAAGCCTCTTTCCAAAGAAGGTAAGCATTATCCAGATTTTACCAAAGGGGGAGCTTTCATGAACAAAAAATAGAAGCAACAGGCACAAAGTTACTGAACAGGCTGCTGGCAGAGTTGTGCATAGAATAATACAGGTTTCCCAAGCCTAGTCCTGCATTATAATGTTTCTCTGTTGGAGAATGAGAGATTCCACAGATACTTTCAATAGATGTTTTTTTAAGCTCTCAACCTTTATCCAGTCTCTAAATGACAGCTAAAAAGAGACAAGCTCACTCCTTAATTGTGCACAACGGGGGAGGTTCATAAAAGAGCTCAAAGGGTAACGTTTTCAAAAGCAGTTCAAGGGTATCTGGAAGGTAATGAATTTTATGCTCCTGAGCACACCCCCCAGAAAAAGGAGCCAAAGTTTCCAACAAAAGCAATTTGCATTGAAAAATGTGCATGATGATTGGCCTTTCAAAGGAGCTGAGCAAGTGACAGTCACAGGCAGATTTTCAAAGACCCATAAACACCCAGTGTACTGACATCTTTTGCAGGAGGATGGCTATTTATTCTTCCAAAGGAGCTATTTAAATGGGCTCATTTGGAAAATCCAATTCAGCCAGGATTTTCACAACCTCTTGAGGTGAAACAGCACTAACCTGTTGCCTGGATCTCAATATAGGGGATTTTTTTTGTCCCCCTAGAAATTAAAATGTGGGATCTCTCCCAAATGGCTGAGAAACCCAGATCATGCCAGAGACACAAATTAAGCAAAGCACCTGGGAGGTGCCAGGAGGAGACGCTCTGATGTCCTGAACCAGAGGATGCTGTTGTGGCCACCTGCAGCGTCACTGGCTGGCCAAGGCAGGCAGGGGGCAGGGGAATACTGGAGCTTCCAGACCGGTGGCCCGTTCAGTGGCCTCTACACCACATGGCTCTGCATTGGCAGGAAGAGCTCAGACAGGGACTGTCACCCCAAAAACAAATCTCTTTACTCAGCATACTGAGTTTTCTCTCTTGCTACTTTCCTTTGTAGTGGCTACTTAGGTATCACTTGGAGGAGATGGGTAAACTTGATACCAAAGTCAAGTGCCAGAAGAAAAATCCTCATGCTTAGATCCCAGCTATTTCCCTATGTTACTGGGGCTAAAAGCCAATGACCAGGGATTAATCTTTGCTGATATTGTGGAATTTAACATCTGCTGCTTTATCAATTATTCTCCTTCTGCAAACTAGACTTCATTTCCCAGAGGGAGCAAAGTGGTGGAAAACATCCTGCCTATGATGTGATCAAGGAAAATCTTTATTATTATTACTGCCACACATACCAACTCACATCATGCTCTGCATCTCACTTTGCCACTCTGTTTCTGTCACCTAACATTCATAATAACTGTTCACAAAAGAGTTGTTTTCTATTATCTCAGGTATTCCAGGGATCTGGTTTACAGCACAGCTTCACAGAGAGTTAGTCACATTAAGACAATTTGTTGATCAATGACCTGGGCTCCAACTTGCAAAACTAGTCGTCAGTGGGCCTGGGGAGGGAGTTGCATACAACCAATGATTTCAAAATCCCCTGTGTAGATACTCTGTTGGTTTCCTGCACATGTATAAATAGAAATGAAGCATTGTCAAGTTATCTCCTTGATCAAGCAGCCTTGCTGATATATAGCCTGTATTGCAAATGAAGATGCAGGCCACAGAGTGTGAAGCACTCCCACTGTACCTTTGAAACCATCCTATTCATCCTAAATTAGACAACTCCTTCTGTTTGTTACCGGACTGCATAAATCCTCTGCCTGGTCCCAGCATCTCATCACAACTAACATATGACCCATATCCATCAAAAACTGACACAGCTGGAAGGGATGCCTGAAATGCATAAGACCTTCTTTTCGGTGGGAACATGCAGATATTTACAGG